ATTTTATTTGAAATGAGTCGCTGTATTTTAAAGTTTTAAGAATCTATACTCCTTGAATCTTTCTTGTTTATAGTTTTGTGTGCATTTTTAATTGTGATTGTTAAACTTTTGACAAACATGATAGATAAATTATTTGGATTTCAGGAAATGCAAAATACAAATAATGCTTTCAACATTTAAGCTGCAAGTTTTTATTTTTGTGAAACCTATTGTCGCAATTTTTCCACAATAATAAAAACATCACAAACATTTCTAAATTACTTGATACATGTATATCAAGAGATGTAAGCATGCCTTTTTAGTCATGAGTTCAGTTGAACTTTAAGAGGTCTAACCACACATTGCCTTAAATTAATATCATATTTTGTAATTATGAATTCTACATTAACGAGGTTCTGACAAAATAAAAAAATATTTAAAAAAATATTAATACAAAAATCTATTGTTTATCAGAGATTGCACATAAAAAAATAAGTCCTTTACTGATATATTGTTCTTATTGGCTATCAAAACAACATTATACATTTGGTAGACATTTTGTACATAGATATTATTGTGGATTCATTTATTTTCGTGGGTACAAATTTTTGTGGATTGCGGAAAACTTGCCTTTTCGTGGATATGTGATTTCGTGGTTTTGCCATATTCTGCATACAACCTGATAGTAAATTTGTACTTCGTTGAATATTTGAATTCACAGTTCACCTGTATCCACGAAAACCACGAAAATTGGTATCCAACGAATATTAATGAATCCACAGTACTTCATTAATAGACCACTTTCGAGTCTGTTGCGTTTCCGTCAAAAACTTTGGTTTTAGTGAACATCATTCGTGAGTTTAGGGGCATCATCACTTCCTTCCCATGTTGAGCGAGTGGTTGAAAAAATATGATGTTATATTGCATGAATTATTTTGCAAATTAAATTCTTATAATTGATAATCAGCACTGCTGTCAATCGGGAATTGTGAGTACCTACGTAAACAAACATTATTTCTAGTTTATCCTGCATAATGACGATCACGAAGAAGCTTGATGAATTTTAATAGTGCAGGGATACAGGCGAGCCCCTCTATCTGGTAAATGACATCATAAAGGCACACATAATTGACGAACTTTTCTGGTGAAGGACAGTACTCTTAAGTGGTCTATTCCACCTGGAATGGCTTTAACAGGAACACAGGGAGATGTTGGGTACATGTAAATGAGACAGCAACCTAATTTTACCTTACTCAAAAAGGGTTAGGGTTAGGGTTTAGAGGGCAACTTACAGTGTTCAATGATAGACAAGTGTTTATACAATATGTAAAACATTTAAATTGCTCAATCTTAAAAAGAAGTGAATAAATTTAACAGAGACTATCCAACATCTGTCATGCCCGCAAAATTCCCAAAATAACATTAAGATACCACTCTCAAGCTCCTGTGACTCATTTCACAAAAAATATTACGATGAAAATTGATCGTAAATTATACTGAAATGTTCATGACTTACAATTATTTTTTCTCGTAATATTTTTTGTGAAATTAGTCGCTGACTTTGGAGAGGCACATGAACATGTGAAAGGGTTAAACTAGGATTTTTTTTCAATTTGAAACCTTTAAATCTGGAACATATTAAATTACCTTATTTTAAAAAAAGAAAAACCTTTGTTGATTGTGGTGTTGATTTCCTATCAACTAACCTACAACCCAGATCAAAAAGCATTTCAAAGTTTAACTGGTGAATGCTTGTTTACCTCAAGAGTAAATAGCATGCCAAGTCATGTAATATAAATTTTTAAAGTAATAAATACTAAAACTACCAAAAAACACCATTTCTAATTTATTAAAAGAAAAAAATTACCAAAGAAAAATGAGCAATTTATTTAGACCTGGATTTATTGATGATATTAACCCGACTATCGAATCATCACAGAAAATGTGAGCTTTTGAAAAATAAATATTTCATATATGAAAGTAAAGACTAAAAGGCAGATTTTATTTCTAAAATTAGGACTAATGATAGATCTTTGATTTACGTACTAATCTGTGTAAAACGCTTAGCAAACTAAATTAAATGTTAAAGATATCTCATCCTGTTTTACTAACTACGTTTCTTAATAATAACTGCAAGATTTATTCTCTACTTATGTTAATAAATGTTGAACCTTTTCTGAATTCCTAACAATTTTCCTTTGAAAATTGTCGAAATTCAAATAACAGAACTTCCACACAAAAATAAATACATTAACGACACACATGTATGCAAAGCTTTAGTAAGTCCCAATGGTTAAAGCAGTATGTTAACAGCAAAGAAATGAAAACCATAAAATACATCACATATTTACAAGAACAAATATATGTAAACAACTGAGTTATGTAATGATATGTAGATACACACATATTTAGTTTATTCAAATAAAGACTCAACGTACCTAAGGTGTAGGTACAAAAACAATATAAATACAACCCATCTACACAAAAATATACCATCTTTTGTGAATTTTCAAAATTAAGGGAAAAGTCCCCTTAAAAATTTTAAATATGCAAAGCTAATATAAATACATGTATATGCAAAGCTAATAAAAATAAATATGCTCAAACAATACAATTTCATTATTATACAGACAGCAAATAACATTGATGAAAATATATTTACCATAATTTAACTTCAAAATGCTTTTAAATATTTCCATTATACACCATTGCTTTATTGTAACAACAAACATTAGTTGTTTTTACTTACTTTGACGTATGGTCACTTATAATTAGAAGTTCCCTATTGATTTTGAGGTCACTTCAATTACAGTCAAGGTAATAATAAAATAAAATAGACCTAAAAGATTAATAAACATGAGTTTCAAATTGAAGTTACACCATTAAAGCCAGAGCGTCATGACCCCCAAATTACCTCCTCAGAGACAGCCTGGCTACAGACCTGTTTATGAATAGCAAAGGTACCAGATTACAAGGGATATAACAAGACTATTAAGAGGAGATAATTTTAAAATTCCTTTATGTAGATGGACTTGCTAAAAGTAGCCCATTCACACATAAGAACTAAATCATTCTCAGCTATAATAACCAATATGGAGAAAATATCGATTATTTCTAATAGGTAATTTGGTTTAAAAAAATAATTTACTAATGTGTCTTATTAAATAACATAAATATGAAAAGTAAATTTCAACATATAAAAAAACCTGATGACATGGCACAACCATATATTTATTTTTATCAATAGTACCGCTTAAGTCGACGCTAGGGGCCGTCTTGACCTGGTTGTAGGGTATGAATGATTCGTTCATTGTTGAAGACCCTATATCTAAAAAAAAGATGTGGTATGATTGCCAATGAGACAACTCTCCACAAGAGACCAAATGACACAGAAATCAACTGTCAAGATGAAGAACAGGAATAAAAGCCCTGTTCATTGATAATTTTCTATGTTTTCTATGTATTGTGTGCGATTTTGTCCCATGTATATTTACTCCATATCCATTCATTTTCTATTAGTATGGAAATACTTCTATTCTTAGATGACAATGTTCTTAATGCATTTCTCCCCAAGGGTGACTGGGGAATAGAAGTATGGTCACCATTGGTCTTCCTCCGACCGGCGGTAAAACCCTCGTCAAAGTGGGGCGTCCGTTTGGCTGTGCGGGATGTACAAATTTGCAGCCACGTCCGGTCAGAATGGGGACGTTAAATCCGATGCCTCGTGTAAAGAGAGTGCCACGCTCTTTGCACGTTAAGAACCCTTGCAACAACTCTTTGAGGGGTCCGTAGGTGACCTGTTGCAAGGCTTAATTTCTGTCCCTATCCAATATACCCTCATTTCCCGTGGCAGTCTAAATTTCTCCGACCATAATCCCTTAATCTTTTACAGAACCTACCTATTGTATTTATTGTGAACTTGTTCTCGTCCTGAATATGCTTGAAATATTTGCCACTGGACGTTAAGCAACCAACAATCAATCAATCTTAATGCATTTCATAAAAAATTCCTAAGCACATGGATTTATAGTAAATAAGTCAATTGTATTTAAAGTCGGCATACATGTACACAATAACAATCTAAATATGATCTGTAACCGTATATATACTCTAAATATAACAGTAAGAGATAAATATAACTGTGACCCATTACTGTAATGCCAAAACAAAATTTTCCTTATATTTGTAACAGAATATGGTGTTAAAAAAATTCTTAGAGATGATGGGGTTATCTGTCCTTAGTTTGTGATAATACTATTTAACAAACTCTAACCATGATAACATTTGCCAAAGCACAACAGACAATGAAGTGTGTTACTTCATAACTGGCACAGGATATTTCAAAGAATACTTTCTAATATTTGAGGAATGTAATTTCAAGTGTAAATGTACCGTGAAATCAACAAAAAAATACCACTAATCCTTGTTAAATATAACCGTGAACAACATTATCACTTCATGACAGGAGTAACAAACAAATTGTGTTATGGTTAGAAATTTCATTATTTGTTAATTCTTGTACGGAATTAACAAATTTACATTTTATTTGGTATAAAAATTCTGATTGAGATAAACAACAAAATCATCGTAGCTAAGGAATAATTGTACAATATTTATTTGTTTATTGATTTATTGATCTATTTTGTTTGATTGTTTAGTATTTATTTTCAGTCATTTGTGACTCACTATAAAGGTAAACAAAAAATATTTAATTATATTTGTGATAGATTATTGTACAAAAAAAAGTTGAGAATGTGGTACACCTTTAAACAAAATCTACACCATAATAAATTGTGAAAATCTACATTAGTCATTTTCAAATAAGTATTCTAAAAAATTGTATCAATATACAATATTGAATTCCGGGACATTAAAACATAAAAATAACTGGATATAAAAGCTTCAGCAATAAATTTCTAAAACACCTAATGTATTATTTATTAATAAATAAATCCTGCCAGCAGGTTTCTCGAACTGACACCTTAAACACATCATTTTGTTATAAATATAATATCAAAACCCATACCTGGTAAATACTCAGATAACAGAATGTCTTCTTTCCTTCAATTAGAATTGTTGATTTACTGTTCAGCTATGCGTAGGGGAATTTTATATGTTCAAATACATTCTTTATATTGCTTACTATACATTTTTCAGCAACCAGGCTTTGACCTCATTTTCATGAGATTTTAACCAGTTTATATTTGTTCTAATATTCTCTAATGCTGTCGACACAGCTCTCTTAGCTGGACCGCTATCTACTTTCTTGAAAAATTCTTCCACCTGTACGAAAAGTAAAAAGCCATTGTTATTTCTCTTCTCTACTGGTAAATAAACATTTATCTTCAACAAAAGATAGGGAACTTTAAAATTACCTAGTACATATACATGAAATAGATTAAGACTATTGTTGATACACTTGTCCAATGCATGATCATTTATTAAGTCTCCCAAACGAAGTTTGGGAAGACTTATTGTTTTTGCTCAGTTCTTATTATTATTATTATTATTATTCTTCTTCCTCTTCCTCTTCCTCTTCCGCCGCTTTTAAATTTGAACTTGTCCGCACCCGTTCTCCAAAACCGCTTGTCAGATTAACTTAGGGTTTCACAATATGATAGACTAACATGTCTAGTGGTGCAATCAGGGTTTTGTTTGTGCAATGGGGTTTATAAAGGGGTACTTTGAGGGGCAAAAAGAAAAGAGGGTTTTACTATAGAACCCTATGGGATTTTATTTTTTTAAATTTTCAAATGATTATAAATTGAAAACCGTTGGTGATAGACACAATCTTTTTAATTGAAAATGTTCTAAATGATAAAACCCATTAAATGAAATACAGGGTTAGTCCCAAGGGGTCATCCCCAACCCCTGCCATTTAAGAAAGTTCTAATACCTTGTAAGTGGTCAAGATCCCCACCCCTAAACCATATATATTCTGGTTTGTCATGCTAAGATGGTTTGAATGATATACAGGGTTAGTCCCCAGGGGTCATCCCGACCCCCTGCCGTTTGAGAAAGTTCTAATATCTTGTAAATGGTAGAGATCCCCACCCCTAGACCATATATATTCTGGTTTGTCATGCTAAGATGGTTTGAATGATATACAGGGTTAATCCCCAGGGGTCATCCCGACCCCCTGCCATTTGAGAAAGTTCTAATATCTTGTAAATGGTCAAGATCCCCACCCCTAAACCATATATATTCTGGTTTGTCATGCTAAGATGGTTTGAATGATATACAGGGTTAGTCCCCACGGGTCATCCCGACCCCCTGCCATTTGAGAAAGTTCTAATATCTTGTAAATGGTCGAGATCCCCACCCCTAAACCATATATATTCTGGTTTGTCATGATAAAGCACATGAAATGAAATACAGGGTTAGTCCCCAGGGGTCACCCCCACCCATGCCATTTCAGAAAGTTCTAATATCTTGTAAGTGGTCAAGATCCCCACCCCTAAACCATATATATTCTGGTTTGTCATGCTAAGATGGTTTGAATAATATACAGGGTTAGTCCCCAGGGGTCATCCCGACCCCCTGTCATTTGAGAAAGTTCTAATATCTTGTAAATGGTCGAGATCCCCACCCCTAAACCATATATATTCTGGTTTGTCATGACAGCAAATCAAATGAAATACAGGCTTAGTCCCCAGGGGTCACTAATGCATATAACTTTACTGGACCAAACCAATTTTCACTGGACTTTGCCCAATGTCAGGCGACCCTGGGAATCAGAATTATGGGAGCTTCGTTTGGGAGACTTCGTAACAGCATCCTGTTACAATCATTTCTTGTTGACTTTTAGCTTCTTGTTTTTTGTTTGTTTTTTATCTTGTGGTGTATATTCTGCATCTCCTTTATTCATATATAGCATTCAATTTTTAAATGTTGTTTGTGCTTGTATAACTTTTAATAATATTAACAGTACCAATTTTTACTGCACTAGATGTTTACCCTTTAAACCAGTGCATTCAAATGCTTTTTACAGGCCATCAAATGAAGCATTATTTGTAAATTCTAATTGTGAAGATTCACCTCTTTGTAATCAAATTCTGTAGAAAATGACGATGTTGTTGATTTGACAAATTCTGGTAACGTAAAGGATACATCTCCATACCTACAAGTAAATTACAAACACTTAATTCATAGTAAGCTCTAATAATTTGTTTGTCAAAAGAGGCTAACCCCTTTGATTAAATAAACTAGATACCAGAGTACAATAAAAGATCATAAGTTGAGGAATGTCAGACAAAAACCTAGATAAAACTGTATGTAAAACTGAATGTTGTACTAAAACTAATGGCTCCCCTCCCCTCCCCCCCCCAAAAAAAAAAATACACACAAAATTTAAAATGCACTTAACAGGTCTTGTCATGGCAGTTTAAAATTCATACTGTTTAAGGGTTGGGTATATTTTTGATGTATTTAACAAATAACGATTAAAGGTGTGTGGCATGACTTCCAGTGAAAATAATTATCTAAAGAGTATTAAAAGGTCTTACCATGTCGATTGAGAAAATATATGTTTTGGGATGGGGATGCAAATAGTTTTATAGAGCTCTATCTTATAATATCTAACTTTGCTCAGCTATCAAAATCATAAATAAATCTGTGTGTACTCCAGGCTTAATCTTGTGTGAAGCCATCCTCATTTTTTGTTGATAAAATTTCTTTTACTAATTGTATTTTATTATATATTGTACATATGTATTTCTCTAAACCTTGTCAAAATGATGGATTATTGAGAATATAGATATATATATATATATACAACAATCAATGATATGCAGGGGACGTGGTATATCTCCCAGGGACAAGACCTATGGTAAACTAGAAAGGTCTTTTCAAAGTAATTTAGGGTATACAGTCGAACCTCGTTATGTCGAAGTGGAAAGGGACCGGACCAAAGTATTAGACTTATCCGAGGTTCGACTCATCCGAGGTCGAGTGTGTCGTCTTAAATTTTGAATGCATGAAATACAGTATGAGATTTGTGTTAACGAGATACTTTGAACAGTGTGCCTTTTTCGATATGACACTTTATGATTGTGTATTCAGTCTCCATATTTTTTGGTCCTTCATAATAATTAACCACACAAATCATGCACAAATAAAATCAATAGTATACACAGATATTTACAAAGGTCAGTCACTATAAATAAGGAAATCACTCGCAGAACGAAACAAGTTCTGAACTGTCCCTGATGAGGTCTTCTGCGTAACATTGAATTATTATGAATTTATCATAATTGTCTTAATCCTTTTATTTATTGTAATTAATGAATTTTAATTCTAACGATTCATTCAATCTCGGCTTGGGTCATTTAAATTCATTTCGATTTTATTGTCAGGTGAAATATGTTCAACAAACTAACGTTCCGCTTGGACAATCAACACATGTGTTAATTACCGTAAACATGTCATTTTAACTGTTATACAAACAAGTATGTTTACTTAGCTTTAATCCCTTTTGAAAATGATTAGGTTACATAAAAGATACATCCGATTTGAATTTTATCATTAGGTCTGCATCTTTCACAAATTCTTACTTTCAAACTTCAAGACATCGGGGTCAATTTACATTAATTTTACATCGACGGGACTATAAAATTTACTCGACTTAACCAAGTGTTCGAATCAACAGAGTTCGACTCATCAAAGGTATTTATGCATTGATCAAACAGGAATTTTACTGGGACCGAGAAATTACTTCGACTCATCTGAGTTTTCGACACAATGAGGTTCAACTGTATATGGTTTAGGGGAGGGGATCTGAACCATTATTGAGATATTTAACAAATTATTATATGAATAAGTAGGTTATAACCTATTTATATTACAAGATTAAAATGTATACCATTGTAATAATTTTTCCCAATTTTGTTGTAGAAATCGCCATGCCAACAATTGTCCTGAAGGATTCTTGGTCACTGCCCTCATTACTTTATACAAATCTTGGTGTTTAATCATATCTTCATTTAAAGCCATGTGCAGTAACCTGAAATTTTCACAAAAATATGTTATAAATGGACCTATAAAATCTATCACTATGTTGTAAAATTCACCATGCTAAAGTGTTATCTCAATATATCCATCATCACCAAGAAACATCCTTCATTGTTGAATGAAATTACCTGTAAGTTCATAATCTGCTGTGTTAATCTTAAACTTTTAACACAAATATGGCTGGCCTGTGTATTCTAATCACATACTTAAACAACTGTTGATGACTCCATCGCCAACAACACCATGCCTAATCCTTGCTTCCTTGACTTAAAGTGAGACAAACAATAGATAGACATGTTCATTACATCTAAACCTTGGAAAATTAAGTAAACTAATACACAAAAGAGTTTTATGAATGTCTGAATATATAATTGATTGATTGATTATTGGTGTTTAATGCCACTTTCAGCACTTTTAGCTATATCCTGGAGACAAGAATTTATTGGTGAAGGAAGCCAGAGTACCAGGATGAATGAACCGTAACCTAGGGCAAGAAAACTGGCAGCTCTAATCAATTAAGATACCATGTAGAAAGTATTATAACAACAATACTTCAGGGGACTGCTGGGGGCCTCGGTGGCCAAGTGGTCTAAGTAGTTCCACTACTGTACCACTAGCCAGTAAACACTGAGGTTGTGAATTTGAATCCCACACGAGGGCAGGTGCACTCGACTGCAACTTAATTGACAAGGATTGTCAGTTTTCCTACCGAAGGTCGTGGTTCTCTCCAGGCACTCCGGCTTCCTCCACCAATAAAAACTGACTGCCACAAAATAGCAAAATAGTGTTGAAAGTGGCGTTAAACACCAATCCATCAATCAATCAATCTAGGACTGCTGCAGAAAATTTATTGATCTAATAAAATTGAGAATGGAAATGGGGAATGTGTCAAAGAGACAACAACCCGACCAAAGAGCAGAAAACAGCCAAAGGCCACCAATGGGTCTTCCACACAGCGAGAAAATCCCGCACCAGTAGGTGTGCTTCAGCTGGTCCTTAAACAAAAATGTGTACTAGTTCAGTGATAATGGATGTCATACTAAACTACAAAACTTATAAATGAACTACAATTAAAAATTATACAAGAGTAACAAAGGCCAGAGGCTCCTGACTTGGGACAGGAGCAAAAATGTGGCGGGGTTAAACATGTTTTGTGAGATCTCAACCCTCCCCCTATACCTCTAGCCAACGTAGAAAAAACAAACACACAGCAATACGCACAGTAAAACTCAGTTTAAAAGAAGTCTGAGTCCGATGTCAGAATAGGTAACAAAAGAAACAAAGCAAAATGACAATGATACATAAATTAACAAAGGACTACTAGCAGTTACTGACATGCCAGCTCCAGACCTAAATTAAACTGATTGAAAGATTATGTCTTCATCATATGAAAATCAAGCACAATGTTTCGGTGCCTAGGGCACCGTCATCAGGATAAAAACAATACAGAAAATTGCGCCTGAACTACAAAATCGGGTATGCATAAATTACGTCACAATGTAACCATGGTGAGTATATAAATAGAAAGTGAAAGTGGAAGTTAACTTGAACAAGACAGTTGAATAAAATGTGAATGTCATTGAAATTTAAAATTTTGTTGAATGAATACATGTTTGTCATCTTGCATAATGGAACTAAAATATATAATAAGTTATTGCCCTAGGCACTGAAACATGTAGATCAATAAATTTTCTGCAGCAGTCCCTGAAGTGTTGTTGTTATAAGACTTTCTTCATTTTATGTGCTTTATCATTATGACCCTGCATACCCGAGGTATCCACTTTAGGGACTCTACCCTACTACAGATTTACCAGGCGTTGGTTCACTTTCGTTTGTAATTAAGATAAGAGTTAAATGCACCTGCCAACAATGTATTCTTTGATCAAAGGATAAAACTGATAATGGAAAGATGAAAGGTCGAACAGTGAATATAATTTCCAACTACCATAGGCAGGGCATAAAAAGAGTTTAACCATACAATGGAAGTACTGAACAAATGCTTGAATGTTAACTACCTTTTGCATGATCAAGGAGCATAACTTGATAAATGAAAGTACATAAAAGTAGACTATGATCTGTGTTTTATGGACCCTTTCAATATTGTGAATATATCAAATTATTGTTAAACCATTTGGTCCTGCATAGAACCAAGGCCCGAAACATGAACAGACCTTTGAGAAAAGTTGTTAAAATCAAATAAGCGTCTTTGAACAAGACATTGTAATTTAAAGATGCTGGCTGCTCCGTTTCAAAATAATAAGCTTTTTAAAAGAATGTTATAAATTGACAGTATTTAAAAAACGGAACTAAAAGAACAGAAAAAAATTAAAGGTCTGTGTCCTAGATTTTGAGATATATGTAAGCCATTGCAAATTTGGTTGAATTTTCATACATTTAAACATTGGCACATTCTTCTTTCAGAAACTATGAAAAATTAAGGAATTTATAAGATTTTCTTAAATGGCTTCTTAAACTATATGTTATAAAGGTAGGGGTTACCAGGCTAGAGGTTACCAGGCAAAAGTTTTAATGTCACTACATGATTAAAACCAGAGGATTCTAAATTTCTGACAAAAAGTCAAAAACAAGATCAGCAAACATCCTTAAAAAGTCAATTAATTATTGATTGATTGATAGTTCAGGTTGCTGAGAATCCAGCAATAATTATTTCATGAACATTCAGGTGAATACCATGTTACCGATGAATGAATACTCTGCCCAGGATCAAACCACAACCTCCTACACTTGAGTCAATAAAAATTGAAAACACTTTGGAAGAAAATCCCCCTTTATCGCCCTCATACCTGTTGATGACTATAGAATCTCTGGTCTCTCCCAGTGTGGACAGATATCTATCTTTGTTGGAAGGAGTGATGGAGTTGTTGTATTTCTCCAACATAAATTTCCATTCTGACCATTCTCCATACTTAATCCCTGCAGTGTACACAGCAGTCTTCAGGTTCGGAGGAATACTGTAATAGAAACAATTTTTCTGTGATTATATGATTTTATATGATATAAAAATAAGAAGATGTGGTATAATTGCCAATGAGACAAATCTCCACCAGAGACCTAAGGACGTAGAAGTTTACAACTATACAACTATAGGTCGCTGTAGGGCCTTCAACAATGAGCAAAACCCATAACACATAGTAAGCTATAAAAGGTCTCAAACTGACAAAATCATTCAAACGAAAAAACTAACTAACTTGTGTAACAAAAAAGCCTATGTAGGATAAAAAGTTATTCAGGACCTTTTAACAAATAATCATGGGAATAAGTCATAGGGTCAGATTTCAATGCTATGGTCTAAGGGATACTATTCCAACACTAGTTTTTAAAGGTACTATCTATTAATTTCTACACAACTAAGGAAAATTGCAGTCTCAATGTTAAAACATTAAGTTTAGATTTGTAAATTATTTCCCCTTTATAGTCACAAATCAACATTACAATCTAAAAATTAAATATACTTGGAAAATTAAACATTTTCTACAGTAGCAAGTTAAGCAAATCTTACTGATGAAGCTAGTAATTGGAATATACTAATACTAGACAGCTATTAATACATATGAAATTTTGAGAATATGCCAATACAATTACATATATATACACTTCCACTATGTGCAAGCGCAGCAAAAATGAAAGGATTGCTATCATTAGGTAATATAAAGGTACTAAAAAATGTATTCTTATTCGTTTCAAAGTTAGTTAAAAGCATTATAAAGTATGGTAATTATTAATATATTCCATTTAAGAGTTATTTAATTTCTTTCTATGGTTTTTTTGTTACTGTATATGTTTATCTTTTGCTTCACATGTGTATGTGACATTTGCTTCACATGTGTATGTGACATTTGCTTCACATGTGTATGTGACATTTGCTTCACATGTGTATGTGACAGAGTGATTTTTAATTAAAACATTTTTGTACTGTATTAGCATTATCCAACATCGCACACATAAGAGTATTCCCTCTTTTCCCTATATGTTTATAAATCATAGAAAGAATACTTCTATTCTATATAAATTTATACAATACAAAATTTATGGCATAAAGAAAACAATGCAGCACTTACTTGTCTGTGTAGGTAATCACCTTACCTAGTATTTTGTGTCATCCAATCATCATAGAGTTGTCTTCCCTTCTTTGTAGCATCACTATCTCCTAATAATATGACCTCTGACAGAAGGTTAGAACGAAGATATCTACAATACACCACATGTTTATGATTAAAATTTATGTTTATTTTGATTAATTAATTTCAAAATTAAATTTTTACCTTTTTTTTTACCTGCTCTATTTATAGTTCATTTTGTACAAAATAGCACCATTCATAATTTTGCTGCTGATAACACTGTATCGTATAGTGATTATGATAAAGATAAAGTTGTTAAAAGTTTAGAAACTGATAGTTTTAATCTAATAAACTGGTTTTCGATAAATTTAATGAAGGCTAATCCTGACAAATTCCAGGCTATAGCGATTGGAAAAAAAAACCAAATAAACATAATTTGAGATCCAATTTAAATGGAAACAAAATTTCTTGTGAAGAAAATGTTTAACTTCTTGGAATAACTATAGATTCGGACTTAAACTTTAACAATCATATATCTGAAATATGTAAAAAGGCATCAACACAAACTAAATATTCTAAAACGAATGGGTAAATATTGAAACAGACTAAGCAGGTTAACAGCATTCTACTCATTCATTCTTTCGAATTTTTACTATTGTCCAGTAATTTGGCACTACTGTAGTGAAAAAAATTATTTTAAAATGGAAAAAATTCAAGAAAGAGCTCTTAGATTCATCAATGAAGATTACGATAGTTTGTACGAAAAACTGCTAGAAAAGTCAAAATTACCTTCTTTAAAAATAAGAAGAATAATCAAAGCGCGAAAGCACTGTAAAGGCAGTTAATTACAGGTTGTGTATATTTTTAGTCCAGTTATATCATTATCTTGCATAGTACATTGTACTTATCAGAGGTGGCTTTCAGTATTTAAGATTTAGAGTTCTCTAATGATATTGAACAAGTTTTATGAATGTCATATTCTGAGCACTATATGAAGGCGATTGTTCTCACTTGTTTATGAACTAGTGCATTATGTCCAGTTTGTACCTTTTTTATCTATGTTTATAGTCAAATACTGTTTAAAATAGTTTGGCATTTTCTTTTTAGTAATAAGTAAATGTTATCAACTGAATTTTATTCAACTTTGCAAATGTGGTTTGTTACTGGTAAGTACAATGTATGGATGATAGTTGTTTCATTGGCAATCATAACACATCTCCTTATTTATATAATGACCTATATTCAACGACCTCAGGTACAAAAAAATGTATGTAACTAAACTATGATGGGAAACCTTTGACTTCTTTCTTTTATATAAACTTTTGATTTGGTACCATAGAACTATGTAGAATAAATGTACATTGCAACATGTCAACTCTTTCAATGACAATACTTTTTTTAGAAACTATAACTCCAAGCAAAATTATATTTCCAAGTATAAAGTAATTTATGAATGAAACAAGAGTGCACAGGCTGAAATGTCTCGCCTTCTTTACTAATCATTGATATTATGTTGATAGTCCTAAATATAAAGCTTTATTACAACTGTCACATAAACTTAACATTAACCAAGTAAACTAAACATTGACCAATGAACCTAGAAAATGAGGTCAAGGTCAGATGAACCATGCTAGGCAGGCATGTACAGCTAACAATTCTTCCATACAACAAATATAGTTGACCTATTGCTTATAGTTTAAGAAAAATAGACCAAAACACAAAAACTTAAAACTGAGCAATGAACCTTGAAAATGAGGTCAAGGTAAAAAAAAAACCTGCGTGACTGACAAATAGATCATAAAATATTTCCATACACCAAATATAGTTGAACTATTGCATATAGTATTAGAAAAAAAGACCAAAACTCAAAAACTTAACTTTGACCACTGAACCATGAAAATGAGGTCAAGGTCAGATGACACCTGCCAGCTAGACATGTACACCTTACAATCATTCCATACACCAAATATAGTAGACCTATTGCATACAGTATAAGAAAAACAGACCAAAACACAAAAACTTAACTATAACCACTGAACCATGAAAATGAGGTCAAGGTCAGATGACACCTGCCAGTTGGACATGTACATCTTACAGTCCTTCCATACACCGAATATACTAGACCTATTGCTTATAGTATCTGAGATATGGACTTGACCACCAAAACTTAACCTTGTTCACTGATCCATGAAATGAGGTCGAGGTCAAGTGAAAACTGTCTGACGGGAATGAGGACCTTGCAAGGTATGCACATACCAAATATAGTTATCATATTACTTATAATAAGAGAGAATTTAACATTACAAAAAATCTTATTTTTTTTTTCAAGTAGTCACTGAACCATGAAAATGAGGTCAAGGACATTGGACATGTGACTGACGGAAACTTCGTAACATGAGGCATCCATATACAAAGTATGAAGCATCCAGACCTTCCATCTTCTAAAATATAAAGCTTTTAAGAAGTTAGCTAACGCCGCCGCGGGATCACTATCCCTATGTCAAGCTTTCTGGGACAAAAGTCACAGGCTCGACAAAAAGGAGTTCTTAATTAAGAAATAACTGATTCGCTGAGCCCAGCTGGATACACCCGCAGAGGTCAAACCCTGAACAGTTGGGGCAAAAATGGACACAACATTCAAGCTTGATACAGGTCTGAATTTGGATTGTAATTAAATATTTGACATATTATAGTTTCTGAATAAATGTAGTCAAAGAACTTGAAATCGGTTATATGAATTGAATTTATATTCAATTTAAGATTTCTTGCTGTTGTGCAATACTTAATAAATCTGTTGCCAGACTATAAACAAATAAAGTTCAATTTCTTCTCAATGTCATATTTGAAATTTATGAAAATCAATAGGGAGATTACATCAATAGCTATAAATAATTCACTAAAGTTTCATGCGAACTGCTTAAAGCATTTTTGAGTTGTTGTCCAAAAACTGGAAAATCCCCCCTTTTTTAATGAATAAAACCCCATAACTCAGAAATGTAAAATCTTAAATTTATAAAATTCTAAAGGGAGCTTAAGGATTGATAATTTAGTCTTAGAAGCAAGATTTTTTTATCAGTTGTTAGTGGCTTTGAACTAGCTGTCAGTAAATGTGAGTACTCTCAGATCTGTACTTAGTGTCTTTTTGTTGTTTGGATGTACAACTACCCGGCCACGTCCACTTGTATTTGTATTTATCCATCTGATGAGTTAAGCCTCTTTCAACTGATTTTTATAGTTCGTTCTTATATTGTACTGTTACACCACTGTCCCAGGTTAGGGGGTGGGTTGGGATCCCGCTAACATGTTTAACCCCGCCACATTCTGTCTGTACATGTATGTGCCTGTCCCAAGTCAGGAGCCTGTAATTCAGTGGTTGCCTTTCTTTATGTGTTGCATATTTGTTATTCGTTCATTTTTTGTACATAAAATTAGGCCGTTAGTTTTCTTGTTTGAATTGTTTTACATTGTCATTTCGGGGCCTTTCATAGCTCACTGTGCGGTATGTGCTTTGCTCATTGTTGAAGGCCGTACTGTGACCTATAGCTGTTAATTTCTGTGTCATTTGGTCTCTTGTGGAGAGTTGTCTCATTGGCAATCATACCACATCTTCTTTTTTTATATTAACATCAACAGATATAAACAATTCACCAAAGTCAAGGTGAGACAACAAAACTTAGTTGTAAGATCTCTGAAATTTTTTACACGGTACAAGTTTTTCTAATTGTTGGAGATTGTACAGTGACAGTAACACCTGTAACTGCTTCATCTATTTCTTATGCACTTTGGTTTGATCAACTCACTGAATATCATACCACATCTCCTTATTTTTATATGCATTACAATTTACATTTGCATGTTATTGTAAATAATATTTATATATATATATATATATCAGAACAAACTTCATTGTGTCACTTTTATTTATGCATCCTTCGGCACAATACAAGTTTTAAAATTACACAATAAAACAACTAAATGTTATTTCAGATGAAAGTTTTGTTTCAGTTCCATTCATAGGATTTATTAGAATTTTGTATGTTTTGCCAAGTCCAATAATTAGCTCTATGTGCACGTGTTAATTGGAGACTTTTCTATCCCGTATAGGAGTTTTGGAACTAATTCTGTTTCTTTTTTTGAAAAAAGTGAGCAAACAAATCTTGCACATTTAAACCTTTGTCTGCCATCACACTGTCACCTGGATCACATAATTGAACTATTCTACATCTTTCAACTATTTCGCAGTCACTGGTACAACCAACATATGCATTAGAGACATAGTTGACTAAACCGCCAGGTGTCAAACATAGAAGCATTTTCAGTGTTTCTGTTTTTATATGATGAAAAGGTTGCCTGAGCTCTAGGAGCTTTAGGTTTTATCAAGGGATATTCTGTGCTGTCAATAATAATCCAAGTTGTAGGAAACTTTAATTTGAAGTTGGATGGCGAAAAATACCTGACTAAACCACTAAATGGCCAAGTGTTAGCCTCACGCCACTGTTTAGACATAAAAACAATCCATGTTTACACAATATTCTTAACACTACAATGTAGTTTCAATCTAGAATCTAGACAGTTCAAAGTTGGTTGTATAATGCCTCAATTTCATCAAAGTCATAAATAAACTGATTTTCAAATGACACCCTATCAATTTGAAAATATATGTATCTCAAACAATGTGCTGCTGGACCAAGTGTGGTCAAAACAAATAAAAATTTAGTATACAACTCTAAACCGGTATAAAAATGCATGGCTGTGTCACGTGTCTTCATTTCAAAATTCTCTGCTGAAAATATAGGCATTGATGGTGTTTGCGTAATTCCATCTGTGAAGCTCAACATTAGCTCGGCAGTTGGTGGTGGACAGTCATAAATCCTGTCTGCAGTATGAATGACTTCTTCGTGAAAACCAACTTTACAATCAAAACTTTCCTCTAGATTTCTACTACAATATTCATCAAGTTTAGTTCTTTTGTTTTCACAGGAAACTGCCCTGATTTTTCTTTTTGCGGACGATTCAGTCTCTTGCTTGGTCCAGGAAAATAGGCTGGGAATGGCAGTAGACTTAAGCCTCTGTATGGTGGGTTTGCGCCCTGAAAAAGGTTATAAAACATTAGTTTTCTTATAATTAAAT